GGTGATGAGCTGTTGTGCTTTTTGTTTGTCTTTGAAAAGCTGGCTTTTCGTGGTGTCATCCATCGAACTTATCATTATTCTTATCATCTGCGTTTGGTCTACTGCCGTCTGCAGAATGATGTCGAAGTAATATGTAAATCCTTGCTGGCTTTTTCGATTTCGGTCTACTCTTTGTACATATCCAGTAAAGCCTGAAAAAAAAATGTTTATTTTATATTAAACCTACATGCATATTTTCACACAAACGTATCATATCCATAAGTTCCGGAGAGAATTCAATAAAGACAAATTTTGCCTGTGAACTATAGGTTAAAACTGAGTCATCTGTAGGGGTTTCACAATGAGGACAATTCAACTTTCTTGGTTCAGTTTGAATAGCAGAGATAAAATGTGGCCAAGAATTGTGATCCAATTGACATTTTTGTAATGCAGATCTCGTCACATAGTTAACCAAAATAGAGCTTTTGAGAGCTACATTGTCATGGCCGGTCTTACAAAATGACTCAAAGATTCTCTGAGATGAAAATATATTCATTTCCTCTGAAGAAAGATCACCAAAGGTTCATTCCTTGAAAATCTGACTGAAGAATGCATTAGAATCCCTTACCAAAAACAAGGGGCAATGTTGCTGTAAATATACCCAAATTGGTTTCCTTATTTCTCTCAACATTCTATCATTTCCTTGTGACTCAATGTATCTTTTACATGTTTTGAAAAGGAGTTCTGTGAATTCATTTCGCACAGTCAGTGTAGACAAATAGGGTAAAAATAGATGGTATGAGACTTCTAAAAAAAAGTGTCCACTGCACAGGAGTACATATTAGGGACACTTAGAATAGAATTCATAAAATGTCCCCTCTTTGAGATTAATGGGTTTATTTCACAATCACCTAACTGAACTTCCTCTGTCATGTTGTTACTATTCATTAACTACTGTATGCCATAGGATCTGCTTCTATGTTAAACATGCTCATGCTTTCTTAAATTACAAAGAACCATCCTTTAGCAAAGTTTCTTTTCAGGGTAGCTAAACTACAAAATTCTTTAACACCTGCACAAAGATCATCAATGTGGGTCCAGTTCCCTTGAGTAAGAACTGCGCTGGTAAAATGTCCATTATAACAACGCACCATCCCCTTTAACTTATATTCACTTGAGCCTACATGCATATTTTCCCACAAATTTATCAAATCCATAAATTCTGGAGAGAATTCAATAAAGACAAATTTTTCCTGTGAACTATAGGTTAAAACTGGGTCATCTGTAGGGGTTTTACAATTAGGACAATTCAACTTTCCTGGTTCAGTTTGAATAGCAGAGATAAAATGTGGCCAAGAATTGTGATCCAATTGACATTTTTGTAATGCAGATCTTGTCACATAGTTAACCAAAATAAAGCTTTTGAGAGCTACATTGTCATGGAAGGTCTTACAAAATGACTCAAAGATTCTCTGAGATGAAAATATATTCATTTCCTCTGAAGAAAGATCACCAAAGGTTCGTTCCTCGAAAATCTGACTGAAGCACGCATTACAATCTCTTGACAAAAATGAGGGGCAATGTTGTTGTAAATATACCCAAAGCGGTTCCCTTAGCAAGGCTGTGCTCTAGCGGCGCCCGGTCGCCTCAGGCGACTAACATTTGGTCTCGGGCGACTGAAAAAGAAAAGCGGTCGCCCGTCCGGGCGCATAGATTTCGGCTTTTGTGAAAACCCGAAACGAAACCAGCAAACGTATAGAAACGGAAAGGAACGAAACAAAAAGAAACTCCATCGTGCTCCCCGGCTCCCGTTAGCCCGAAAAGCAAAAGCGCTGAAAGCGCAGTGCAATCAATAGCCTGTGTAATCTGTACATTTAGGTTAAATATTAAGTTAGGTCATGGGTCTTGTTTCGCTTCGGTGGTTTCTCTTCCGGTTTATTAATATAGTACATGGTCCAGGTTTCTTGTCCATTGAACGACGTGATAAAGCGAGCAACTGATTGTAACTAACATTTTATAATTTTACTTGCTAATTTGATGACATTTGCAGAACTAAAAAATATTCGGCAGGACAACAACAAGAAGTTGTCGCGTGTGTTATGTAATATTGTTTCACATGATTTAGCACGAAAAATTATTTTTTCCTTGCCCGTGAGAAACTGCACGATTTTAGCACAAGCATGTGTTGAAGATCTAATTTTTCTATTGAAGTGGTTGATGCTTATATTTAATTTTTGTGTTTCAACAGTTTCAATAGTGGAGCGCTTGATTAATAAAACGAAACCGTCCTCTGTGCAAATTTGTGTTTATTTACTTAGCTTCGTCCGTGGCATGCAAGATGTTTATCAGCACCATATTTGGCGACCTGGGCGATCTACCTGTCATGGTTAGGCGCCCGAAGGGCGCCCTGAACATTTTCCTAGAGCACAGCCTTGCCTTAGTTCTCTCAACTATCTGTCATTTCCTTGTGACTCAATGTATCTTGCACCACAGGCGGCCCAAGCTCCAGCTGTGAGATGATCATCTTGCGCAATAACAGTCATGGCGGAATTATAAGAGTTTGTATGGGAATATTTACGACCGCTCTAAGGAATAAAAAAATACGTCAAATTCTCAAAAAAAAAATACCTCACCTTACTTCCACAGCGTATTGCTTGTTATCTGACCGCTTACTTTGATGAAAAGAGCCCATTTGAGCGAGTTGTTCATTTCTAGGGCTTTTCTTATGTACGTTGAAAACCTCGAAATGAACAACTCGCTTAAATGGGCTCTGTTCATCAAATTAAGCGATCAGATAACAAGTGATACACTGTGGAAGTAAGGTGAAGTATTTTTATTGAGAATTTGACGTATTTTTTTATTCCTTAGAGCGGTCGTAAATATTCCCATACAAACTCTTATAATTCCGCCATGACTGTTATTGCGCAAGATGATCATCTCACAGCTGGAGCTTGGGCCGCCTGTGGTCAAGACAGCTTTTAAGCACAAAACAGCACTCTCCGCGCTTTTCACCCGCTTTTCACACTTTGATGTTCGCGTGGACTCCGACTGAAGAAACTCTAAAACTCTGAGAATAATTCAACATCAAAGCAAACGAGTTAGAAGCTCAACTTTTTCATGTATTTGATATCTGGTTATACTTTAATTATGCTGCAAGTTCTTTGCTTTAAGTTCTCACGTAAGCTGCCTGAGCTGAGGACCCTCCGCCGCCTTCGATCGAGACTTCGCACAACTGTTTCTCTTTTGACGGATTTTGATCACCTTTTAAACTCAAAACTACCTTTAATTGTTAGAAAGATGCTACACACTTACCGTTGGACTTGGAAACGCTTCTCGGCGCTTTTCAGGGACGCTTAACTCGAAATCCCGACAAGGACAAAGCTCGTGTCATAGACGCCGATCCAAAAAGTCCTCGCGCGCGTCTTTTTGTTGGCCGCCCATGACCATTTGCGGGAAAAACGTTGATACCTTGCGGCCGTGCAAGCGATCAAATCGAGATTTTTTTGGTTATGATCAACCGAAAATACCCACATTCTCTCTTCTTCAGTCTTCCTCTATACAACGCGGGGAAGTCCTAAGGTGCCTCCTCGGGTTTTTGGCCCTCTGGGGCCAAAAACCCTGCGGGGGCAAAAACACCCTCTGAAGCTCAGGTTTAAAAAATTTCTGTCGCATTCTTTTAGATTGTACCCTTGCTTTATTGGATTTTCATGTCAAATACAAATAAATCACACAGTAAATTAAATACTAGTCTAAGTTTCCGAGAAGGTCGCATCGCTGTCAACATGTTTTGTACTGTCTTCATGCAGTTCGCTTCCGTGAACCATACGCGGCTCATATTGTTAAGGACGTGGCCCAGACTCTCCTAAGGATTCTGGATTATCCCCTTCGCTGTCTTATACTAAGCTTAAGGCATTCGAGTCGCTATCTTCTGGAAAAACATCTTCCGAACTACTGCTACTTACACGAGCTCCCACACTGGTTCTACTGAAAAATATGTGTTGTGCAATATTTTAGTTCCACCGCTTACGTCACGACTTTTCGCTATTGTGTTTACCGGAAATGGAATTTCAGTTGAAAATACCGATTTTCTCCTTAAATAAGTTGAATTGGACAAAATGAATTTCAAATTCGTTTTCTACGCAACTTTTTATATAGTATAAGAAAAGCATGTATTTTTGGGTTTACATGTCCTTTAAGTTCTTTTTCCTTTTTCCGTAATCTCCTCCGTTTGAAAGGTATACTCTTTTTCTGTTATAAAAATGAAAACATAAGGTACACAAAGATTCCCATCTCAACCCGCCCAGCCGAAAAAATAACTCTTGCATGCTACGCATGCCTATTTTTAAGCTGCTACAGTAAAGACCTGATATGTGATATGTAATCTTAACACTCTACCCAAAAGAAATTTGATCAGAGCGCTAGAGTCTGAAAAACCACCATCTCTATTACCGTAAAAATATTTTCCAAGGCTATCCTCTACTTTGCTTATCCGCTATGTCCTCGATAGTAACAACCTTGTTCGAAGCCACTATCGGTTTGCTAGTCAACAAAGGCAGAGATAAGGCCGCGGAGATTCTGAAAGATGGCGATGTAACAGATCAAAAATTCCGTTCCTTGATCGTCCGTGAAATAGACGACATCAAGTCAAAGTTGGACGCTTTATCGAAAAAAAATTTGGAAGCGAGTATCAGTTTCTTTGAGGAAGGAATCGCGTTGTTGTATGAAGTGTTTGACATAGTAAAGTCTAGAAACGAGCGTGGTGCGGCAACACCACAAGCAGCTTGCGATGAAGCATTTTCTCTTGTTGAAGGAATCAGAAGGTTAGAGCTTACTGGCCTGGACGAGTCTGCTTCAAGAAAGCTTTCCACTGCAAAGAAAAGATTTGAAGATGCTCGAAGGGAAGCAACGGGGGCCTTTAAAAACGAAGGCCTCAAAACATCTGACCGCATTCTAGCCATGAAGTATCGTGTAATGGTGTAATAAATATCGTGTAATAAACCCCGATTTTCCGGTCTCTGATACCTGACTATTACAAACAAAGTAAGAGTTCAACTAGCGTATCAAATAAATGACGTCACGCGGCCTCAAACCCGTCGTTGTCTTCTTTGCCATTACCGTATAAATAGTTTCCGGGTGCTACCTGTACTTCGCTTATCCGCAATGTCCTCCATAGTAACAGCCTTGTTCAAAGTCACCATCGGTTTGCTAGTCAACAAAGGCAGAGATAAGGCCGCAGAGATTCTGAAAGATGGCGATGTAACAGATCAAAGATTCCACTCCTTGATCGTCCGTGAAATAGACGACATCAAGTCAAAGTTGGACGCGTTATCGAGGAAAGATTTAGAAGCGAGTATCAGTTTCTTTGAGGAAGGAATCGCGTTGTTGTATGAAGTGTTTGACATAGTAAAGTCTAGAAACGAGCGTGGTGCGGCAACAGCACAAGCAGCTTGCGATGAAGCATTTTCTCTCGTTGAAGGAATCACGAGGTTAGAGCTTACTGGCCTGGACGAGTCTGCAACAAGAAAGCTTTCCGCTGCCAAGAAAAGATTCAAAGATGCTCGAAGGGAAGCAACGAGGGCCTTTAAAAACGAAGGCCTCAAAACATCTGACCGCATTCTAGCCATGAAGTATCGTGTAATGGCAACGATCTTGGAAACAGTAGATAATCCCGCTGATGCAGTGGCGCCATGTGGAGTGTGTGTAAAGGAACTTAACAGTCTGCCAGCAGTACAGAATAGCTTTGACGTTCAGCTCAAGACAGGCATTCAGAAAGTGAGGGGTTTATTTGGTAAAGAGGAAAGAAGGGAAATAATTTTCAATGTTTGTCATGTGAATCGCGTGATCTTTGATATTGCGCTCGCATTGGGGAGACTTGACTTCTGCCCAAGTGTTGATATTGGAGAAAATAGAGTTATTCCATTGTGTGACAACAGGGTAAAACACGTGTTACTCAAACATGGTAAAGAGTATTGTTATGTTCCATCAAGGTTATTTGGTCACAAGGGTAAAGAGGAACACAAGCTGAAGAACCCAAACGGTATCGCGACCAACTCCAGCGGACAATTTATTGTAATAGACTCGCATTACGTGAAGGTGTTTGACAACAGCGGCAAGTTTGTGAAACAATCGAGTCTCTCTACCGATGAAGTAAATACAACATATGCTCGTGAAGTTGCCACAGACGTGAGCGACAACATTTTCGTGCTAACCAGACTGGAGAAGCCTGGGAGAGAGGAATCTTATTGGGTTTATAAACTTACTAAAACCGCTGACCTGCATCACACGTTTCGCCTGAGGGGAGAGGACAAGTACAGCGGACTGTCAGTCAGTGATAAAGGGAAAGTGGTGACCTTGCGGGGCTGGAATACAGTGGAGGAATATAACACTGATGGAGAGTTTGTTCGCAGTTTTGGAAAAGGAATAATAAGGTTAGCGTTTTCTGTCATAGTTACTAATGATGGCCGTGCTATGGTAGTAGATCAAGGTGACAAATGTGTTCACATATTCGGTGAATCCGGCGACTATCTTGACAAGTTCAAACTGCACCGAATTGACTATGATTACATAAGATTTACATTTCACCGAGCTGGTGAACAAGTCGTCGTCGCCGGTATTCGAATGGGTGAACCCGTGCAGGTTGTAGTATACAGTAATGATGGTGAGTTTGTGTACTGTGCAGAAATCGAAATTGATAAATTCAATTTGGTGAGAGAGATAACGATGACAACCAAGGGACGCATTGCTTGTGTTGTGAATGTCAAGGTAATCATTTTTTGAAGAGGGTTGTAAAGGGGAGGTCCAAAAAGAAGAAAAATTTGATAAACAACGTTAAGATTCACATTTCTCTAAAAGGAAAAATTCACAGTTCACATGGTCTTCATTTCATATTGTTACAAGTCATGTAAAGTAAAAAGTCACTTGTTTAATCCTGCATCATCCAAAAGCCTCTCTTTGAACTGCTGGTTTTGATGGTTTCTTGTTTTTCTAAATTGTTCAGTTATCTTTTTTGGCTGAACTCATTCGTAAGAAGTAGTTTATTTCCATATTTCCTTTTTGACATTGAATTTCCAAAGTGTACGTAGCTTTTATGAAGATTTTGACAGATTATATGAAGTGTTAGTTTTGATTGTGATGACTTTAATGACAGAACATTTAGTTTCCTTCTTAGTATGTAAACGAACAGTCACGTGTATTTGAACCGTTTTATTTACATGTCAATATTGCGTAGTAAGGTTTCTTTTTTGAGGGAGGGGTGGGAAGGATTTGCAGAACCTTGGGATGACATTGATTTTATTTCCTTATTTAACTCTTGGCTAGGTTGGTTGGTTCTGACTTTGCCTCTCGATGCATTAAAAGTTTGTTACTGTTTCATGTTTTATTATAGGCTGTTTAGCCTATTTCTTTATACATTGAAGTTACTTTATTTTCAAATAGTGAAAGTTTTAGCCAAAATTTAATGCATTTTATTGCAAATTGTAGTTAGAAATTTCTATAAGAATTATTGTTTTGTTAAAAAAAACTTGTTTGATTTGTAAAATACCAAAACTGGGTATCAAGCTAAACACAATCAACTAGCCAATACAAGCTTGTTCACTTAATTCATAGGGAAACCCTTTCAGAGTTTCATTTCATGCAATGGATTTATTGAAAGGAATGATAGAAAATTGAAGAAGTATGGTTTAGCAGAAAAAATTTAAAAAACCAGTTCAGTTAATGTGGCCTGTCATTCCTGTTTATTCCTTTGGTAATGTATTAAAACAATTTTTACTCAAATCCCTGCCATTTTTAGGATGTTTATTAGTCATTGCACAATAGAGAATTATCTAGTTACTGTGCATGTGCAAAATATCCAATTCAAATTTCAATTTTCTGAGCTATTTTTTCCTGTTCCAGAACATCTTTCAAGAAGACTCTTCACTTTGCCTTTAGCAGCACGTATTTTGTATGGAGCGTTATTAGGGTCAAATTTAGAAAACAAATTATGTTATGGTGTTTGATATTTCATTCGGCCGAACTACAGAATTATGTTCCAGCGTTGCATGGAATTATGTTCGGCTCTTTTAACTTCAATAAAAAATGCAATAAACTATGTTCGGCTCTTTTAGAATTGTGTTGGGAGTATTTCACTTATAACTAGGCTGGCAGTTTTTTTGAGTTTAGTCCAATTTTGTTCGGCTCCTCCGAATTACGTTCGGAACGCGGCTACTCGAATTATGTTCGGCAAGTAGACTGGTAGCCTCGCGATAAGAAATTCACGAGGAGTCCCGGGGCGAGAAACATTTCCCGCGCTCTCTATAATTTATTCTAATTATTACCAGTGTTCGTGTACTGTTCTGTCGAACATGGCGGACGAGTTGATTTCTGTAGAATTAAGCAGACATGTAACTGATATCATAAGTTGTCTTCAACGAAGTACTGGTCAGAATGATGTAATACAATTCCGCCTCGACTGGTTATACAATGCTGTTGTACGTTATTGTGACAATATCCCTTCTGGGGAGGCAGTACTGGCCCTTATTCAAGAAGCGAAAGAACTGCTGAGAGAAAATGAGAATGGTAGTTGTAGTGAGAACGTCGCGTTTCAAGCAGAGGTTGCAACTACTGGCGAGCGAAGAAGACCACGCATTATCATTGCAAAGGATCAGCTCGAGTTTTTGTTAGATTTGGGGTTTAAATCCGGAGAGATTGCATCTCTGCTTGGTGTCAGTGAAAGCACTGTTAAACGAAGAATTCGTGAGTATGAAACATTTGTGAGGCAAAGATATTCAAATATTACTGATGAAACTTTGGATGGCCTTGTTGAAGAATTAATGAGAGAATGTTTCTCGCCCCGGGACTCCTCGTGAATTTCTTATCGCGAGGCTACCAGTCTACTTGCCGAACATAATTCGAGTAGCCGCGTTCCGAACATAATTCGGAGGAGCCGAACAAAATTGGACTAAACTCAAAAAAACTGCCAGCCTAGTTATAAGTGAAATACTCCCAACACAAGTTAAAAGAGCTACATAGCCCTATTTACCCCATTTTCTCCCTCTTAGTGAAGTTTAACCCTTTAACTCCCATGAGTGACCAAGACAGAATTTCTCCTTACAGTATCAATACCATATCAACCAGATAAGTGATGAGAATAAAGAAATATATCAATTTGGGGGTAATTTGTTGATCCAATACTTAGTTCTCTGAATTAATATTATAAGAACTGTATGGTTGACAGTAAGGAGAATTACAAATTTGGTCTGGGAGTTTAAGGGTTAAGTATGTTTTGTATTAAAGTGTTAAAAGGTATAACCTTAACCTAATTAACTCCCAAAAAGATTAACATGTAACTTCTCCCTAATCTAAACATTATCTGACAGCAAACAGGTCATGAGAATACTCAAACTTATCAGGTAGAATTTGTTATCTCAATCTCATACCAAATTCTCCTAACTTATTCACAAGGAAAAATTAGCCTTCAATGTTGAAGGTCATCATTTGCAGCTGTTTATCTTTGCCATCCTTAACCCTCAAACTCCCATGATCTGATTGTTAATTCTCCCCTAAGAATACCACTTTCAACATGGATTGTAGACCAATTTGTTTAGCAGTGTGGAGTGTAGATAGGAGATAAGTTAGTAAGGTAAATTATTAAAAGGATTCATGAATAATTTCTTTTTATGTTATTTAGTATAACAATGCTTGAAAACTACATACTATAAATAGAGGGGGTGGATAGGTCTGCTGATATTTCGATTTGGGTTTAAGAACTCACATGCTGTAGATTTTTTCAGAACACAGTGTTGATGGTCATTCCAACATATTTTTAAGATAACAGTTGATCATGGATCACCTGTTTGTCAGCATGGATTCCAGATTCAATCTCTTTTTATGTAGACTGATAAATAACACATTGTTGGTCACCAGTTCACTTAACCCTTTATACCCTAATATTAGAATGCATATTCTCCACACTGTTCTTTATCCATTTCCTAAGGTGCTGAAAAGGAGAATTTGTTTGCCAATCAAAATGTTCCTTCCCTGGTGACCATTTCCTTTATTCTCATGATCTTAATGTGTGATTCAGGGGTCAGATATTGTAGGGAGAAATTAGATGCTAATCACTCTCAGGGTCTAAAAGGTTAAGTCTGTTTATTGATTTAATTTTGTGGACTTAGAAAAATACTTTTCAGTATTTAGAGAAACTTGAAAACAATATATTCAATTTATAGACCCAGACAGCAAGATAGTTCAGTTTGTTATTAGCCGTAAGGCTACTTTTTCAAATACCAATATTGAAAGAAAACTTTGGGTAAAATCTTATTGCAGTAGAAGAGAGAAAAGAGACACAACCACATCATACACTTCTGGTGGTTTCTCAGAACTGACTTTTATTTTAGTAAAAAATTAGATAAACAGGTTAGGTAAAAAACTTGGCAGAATTTTGGGGTTGTATACTTCTATTCATCCCCTTCTTCCCTCTTAGTTAAGTTTAACCCTTTAACTCCCATGAGTGACCAAGACAGAATTTCTCCTTACAATATCAATACAATATCAACCAGATGAGTAATGAGAATAAATAAATATATCAATTTGGGGATTATTAGTTGATCCAATACTAAGTTCTCTGAACTAACATTATAAGAACTGTATGGTTGACTGTAATGAGAATTACAAAATTGGTCTGGGAGTTAAAGGGTTAAGTGTGTTTTGTATTAAAGTGTTAAAATGTATAACCAAATTTTGAAATAAATGTTGCACAAATGTGATTCTGATTAAATTCTGGTTGTGCTTTTCTTTTGTCCTGATTTCATTTTTTACTTTCTTCATGCATTTGTGGACAATTTTATTTTCAGTGATGGATAGTAATAGGTAAGAAGGATACAATAGAACTGCACAAAAGGTAGGTGTGCAAAAAACTTATGGGTCAGGCTTTCCCCCTAACAACTGTCACTGCTGTTTTTTTACCAACTCAGTAAAAATGTTTGCAACAACCAAATAGGTCTGAAAATGGTCTGGTTCGGTCCATTTGTGAGATAACATGGTAAATATGATATTAGAATCAAACATGGGCCTGCTCAAAGTAACATTCTGGCACAGTATTGTGGGCAAATATATCAATCACTCAACAGGATTTTTTTCATCTCTCAAATAATATTTGACTATATTTTCTACCATGGTTGGTTTGAGTTGCCATTAGAAATGCTAATAAAAAACACACCCCAAACTTTTGTTTTATAGTGCACTTTAAGCTCTGCAAAAGGCTAAGTTAAATATTGAGGTAACATCCTTTGTGTTTGGACATCAATAACTAAAATATTGGGAAAGACTTACTCAATGTAAAGGAAAGTTTAGCCTACAAGGTTGAAGGTCAACATTTGCAGCTGTGTTTATCTTTGCCACCCTTAACTCTCTAACTCCCTTGATCTGATTGTAAATTCTCCCCTCTAGCTGCAACACATTTCTTTATAAATTAGTTATGAGAACTTGGTGCTAGATCAAGAGAGCAGCTTCTACCTGATAAGTTTGAATATTCTCATCTCTTGTCTGCTGAATAATGTATGGATATTTAAGGAAAAGTTTCATGTTAATCACTTCTGACAGTTAAAGGGTTAACTTTTCACACTTTGCAGCACCTCACTCCCACAGCTCCCTGCAGCATGCTGACATCAATTTTTTTCACTATTTTTTTTTACTGGTGCAGTGTACCTTGCCAAACAGAAGGGCGGCCACAGTCTACCTAAAAATAGTATGCATATTCTCCTCACTGTGGTTTCCCTTGTGAAATGGATTTTGGAATTCCTAGGAATAAGAGGTGTGAATTTTCACAGTAAATTTGGACTGGGAATTCCTAGGAATTCCTAGGAATTCCCAACCATAACAACTCTAGTTTTAAAAACCTAGAAATTCCTAGAAATTCCAAGTTTATAGCCAACAGGACTTGGAATTCCTAGGAATTCCAACTCAGAGAACCAATGACTTTCCCTGAAAAGTTGTAAATCTAAAAAATTCCTAGGAATTTCTGGGAATTTTTGGGGATTTTTAGGAATGTTTAAGAATTACTGGGAATTTTAAGCAAAAATTTGAGGCTAATGATATAAAATAAATACTTTCAATTAAAAAAACCCAGCTAAAATTCAAGTATTCAATGAAATTTATTTAGAAGCTTAATTAAGGTTTACATGTAAAATATTTTTGATTCATTATTGACATCAATGTGTGGTAATGTTAGGATGGAATTTGATTTTTCTTTTCTTGAAAACTTCATACGGATTAATCCTCAATTACAGCTATTCAAATAAAATAGTCCTAATCAATCATTAAATTTGGTTTGATACCAAATTGTGAATAAAATCTGTTAATTCTTTTCCATAAAATACAATATTTTAAATTATATTTGAAAACCAAGCACTCTTAGGAGTGAAGGGGTTAATTACAGACAAATAAAATTGATTTTTTTTTATTAAAATCTTATTGTAGCTGTAACAATAAATTAGAATGAAGTTATCCTAAACTGCAAACTTAGCCGCTGTTTGTATTCTTTTCCTGGGCTCACAATGAGTTGGCCTTGAATGAGGTTGTCTACAAGAAGCTTGACCATTTTGTATCTGGGTTCCATGACATATGAATTTGAAAAAAAATAATATATTTAAATATATATATTTAAAGCTCAGACCAGGCCTTTAAGATGACTATGAGGAAAAGGGCATTCATTGGATTCTCAAATTGAGAAATCTCTGTTATATTGAGTGACTTTTATATTGGAGTTAGTACATCTCTCTCATAGATTTTTTTACTAAAAAAGGGCTGAATACATTATTTTGTTTTTACCAAGGAGGGCTTCTTTATGTAATAAGGTTTGTTTAATAACAGTTCCTATTATGAATCTTGAATGTT